CCCCTGAGGAGCCATCACTGGTTAAAGGCTTTTATTATATAATCTCTGTTTTGCAGGGGGGTTCCGATTTTTTGTGACAGGGTTTCTTTGTACAACAACAGTCCTGGCTGTCCTAGAACTCACTCTGTAGATCAGTCTGGACTCATAGAAGGATCCACCTGCTTCTGCCTCCTGAGGGCTAGGATTAAAGGTGTGCGCCACCACTGCCCGACTATAATATCTGGTTTTGTTGAGCCTTTACCTACATATTTACCTCTGAATGCTGCTACACACCATGTGCCCCTTGACTGGCCTCAGAGTGTCTGAGGTTCGAACAACTCCAGCTGGAGCTCCAGCATTGAGGAAAGCCAGCAGGTATACCTAGGCAGAGATACTTTATAAATCACATATCCTCATATAATTTTCTATTCTGAAGTAAGATTGGTACAAATGGGCTCGTGATATAAAACAGCATGACCATACAATTTTAGACAGAAAGTACTTAAAAGTTTGTTAAACATGCTGATGATAATAACTATACATTTTCACTTACTTAGAAATGTGCTGTGGGATTATAATCTAATTTTCACAAAGCAACATTTCATACACAATGTCCTTGGGCATGGGATTGTGAAAGGTAAAGGTTACATGGGCATGGTGCTTATAGGATTTTTGAATAGTCATGTCAGGCACAATACGAGATGAAAAGAAATTGGGAAGCCTTGTTGCCACTGGCTCTGTCTCTCTGAGGAAGGCCAGAGTGATAAAGGAAGCCACAGAATCGGTGTGAGCTCCCGAGGTGGGAATCTGGACAGCCCTGAGGTACGTTCCTGTACGCACATGGACTCGATGCCAGGGTATACTGTTGCTTGTGTCACTGGGGCACTAACAGACCCTCAAAGATCTACAACCAGTTTCCCAATTACTACTACTAATCTTTGTCTGCAACAAAACCAACTGTTCAAAACATAGTGCACGAATCCTGCTTTTAGGGTTTGAACAGTATTGGATTCCTTCCAAATTCATGTCCAAGTCTAAAGACTAACCCTAACCCAACCCCAGCCCTAACCCTTAGAATAGGACTTTATTTGGGAAAACAGCCATATAAAATATGCCAGAATATCAGGCCCCTAATCTAATGAACCTGGTCTTCACCAAAAGGAGTATTTGGAAAGACACTCACACATGCATACCTGTCCTGTGAACATATAGAGGGGTTCAGGTGATGCTGTCAAAACCCCGTCTTCAAAGATCACTAATAAACCAAGAGTGAGGGTCAGCTTGTCTGCTGGCACACAGCGGTGTCTCTAAGGCACAGCCCTCCACCACACCGTGATGCGTTCATGTCTCCTGGACCTTACTCAGATAATCTGGAGAGAGTTGCATCTGTGTATGAGGGAAGTTTCCTTTTGTTTAATTTGGAAACACCTCACGCTGCAGTGGTTCTGTTCAGATCATTAAAAGCAGAGTGCTGTGAAGCGTGAGCTCCTCTCCCCCATTCATCACCGGCTTTCACGTCTGTCACTCTCTGACAGGGAGCATCTGTTTTGGAGCCTTGGGGTCCCACCTCCCCCAGAGCCTCCTGGCTGGAGGGCAGCAAGTCTCTGCAGACACCAAATGAAGCCAGGGAGCTGCTTCCTCAGCAGTCTGAGCGCCCTGAAAACTGAGATGGAAGGAAAAGCAACCAAGGGAGAGAAAGGGAGGCCGCTGAGTCCGCTGGAACCCACACAGCACAGCCCCTGAGGAGCGTGTTAACCAGAAGTGGTGGGGGTGGGGTGGGGTGCTAACTGGTGGCGGCTGTGACCATATTCAAGTCCATGATTTCCTTGAGAATGATGTGTTGTGTTCACTAATTAACCAAAGTTTTATACATCAGCATGAAAAGTAATTCACAGATGGCAGAAAATGTTGAAACATCCAAGTGACTAGCCTATAAACCACCACCTCTGATCCCTGGAAGCTTCAAATGATAAATCAACAACAACAAAACAAAACAAAAACATAGGATGCTACACATGCTGCAAAATTCCTGTGGTGTGTGCCCAGTTTGAGAAGCTCTCTTGCCACAGCAGCTGCAGATTCTTAATGAGCACAGATGCATTCTCCTGTAGTTAATACCACTGGGCCTGAGGTGAGCCGCATCCTGGCTTCTAATTACATAGACACACATATTGTTTTATAAAATTTTCTGAGCTCACAGATGGAACCAAATTGTACTTTCTTGTGTTTGTTTTCAAGTTTGTTTAATTTTGACTGTGAGATGTGCACCTACTTAATTTTGGTGTTTCTGTTACCAATACTGTAAACTGCTCAGAAATATGAATGTGCCACCATTTAAATATGTATTCCATTACAGACTGTCACTCCAGTCCCACCCCCTATAACCTTGGGGGTAGTTATGGGAAAGACTATAGCTTTCTATTACATCTTTTGGTGAATGAATTGACTCATCTTCCTTGGAATATCAAAGTCCTAATAGGAGAATCGATTTTCATGCTCATGTTCTAGGGCTAAATTCTGCACGAAGTACACAACATACAGAGAGAATAGGAACAAGGCTAAGGCCACATTTTCCCTGCTGGAGTCTGCATCTTGTTACCATAACAACCCAATCTATAAATTAGTGCCTAGACAACTGGTCAAAATAGGAGTGTCCTTAATAAAATTGGAAAATAAATCCTCAAAAATGCAATGTAAATGTTAATCCATTATCTAAAAGAGCTTTTAAAAAAAGAAATTGGACTGCTTCACCCATTGGTGAAATATAACTCCTGCATAAAATTTTTTAAAAATTATTTTTTGAGCCAGGTGGTAGTGGTGGTGCACATCTTGAATCCCAGCACTTGGGAGGCAGAGGCAGGTAGATCTCTGAGCTTGAGGCCAGCCTGGTCTACAAAGTGAGTTCCAGGACAGCCAGGGCTGTTATGTAGAGAAACCCTGACTAGAAAAATACACACACACACACACACACACACACACACACACACACACACACACACACGCACACACACAATGAAACTGCTGTGGGATGTCTTTCTGTATGCTGTAAATGTGTGTTGCTGCTCTGGTTGGTTGATAAATAAAGCTGCTTGGCCAATGGTGAGGCAGGGTAAGGTTAAGCAGTGCTTTCGAACTGGAGAGAGGAGAGAAGAAAGGAGAATGTGGGAGACACCAGCCCGTCACCAGATGCCCACAGACTGGTAACACCATGGCCACGTGGCAACATATAAATTAATAGAAATGGGTTAAGTTATAAGAGCTAGCTAGCAAGAAGCCTGGCCTTTAGGCCATACAGTTTGTAAGTAATATAAGATTCAGTGTGTTTACTTGGGACCAAGTGGCTGCCGGACGCAGGTGGGAGAGATTTGTCCTGACTGTGAAGCCAGGCAGGATGGAGAAACTTCCGGCTACACAAATCTATTTTTTTGAGATTATCATATAATCATATCCTTTCCCCTTTCTCCAAGCTCTTTTTCAAATGCATGGCCTCTTTTTAAATTAATTCCTGCTACATACATATATGAATGTGCACATGTGTTTCTAAATACATAAATACAAGCTGCTCAGTCTATATAATGTTATCTGTATGTGTGTTTTCGGGGTTGACCACAGGCAGGTAAGGGGTGCTGAGAGCAGGAGAAATCGTCTTCCCCATGGAGGAACACACAAGCTGGTTATCCAACACCAAGTGGACCATCCTGAAAACTTTCTAAAACACTTACAAATAAATGTTGAAAATATAAATCGTTTACAAATGCAAAACCAATCCAGGTATGGTGCCCCATGGCTGTAAATCTGGCAGCTCGGAGGCTGAAGCAGAGGCTTGAAATGAGTCTGAAAATACCACAAACTACATAATGAGTTCTGGGCCAGGCTAGGCTTCACTGTGAGATCCTGTCTCAAAATGTAATGAAAAGCATCTGTTAATAACAAATAGTTTTAATATGTACAATTAATATCTTCAGGCTTTAAAGTGTATTCGTGTTTTATTTTACTTACAAAATAACATGTAATATCTTCCTACTTATAATGCAATAGAAGCACCCAGAGATGAAGGGAGATCAAGTTTATCATTTACTCTTTCTACTTCACCTCATTAGTAAATTAAAATCTTTCTCTAATGGAACCACATATAACAGCTAGTGTGACTTTCCAGGGACCTGGGTTCAAGTCCCAGCACTTACTCCCAACTGTCTGTAACTCCAGTTTCAGGGGATCCGATGCCTTTCTGCTCTCCATGTACACAGGTATACATGTGGGCAAAACACCCAAGCACATGAAATAAAAATAAATCTTTAAAAAGGACATATGAAAGAGATGAACATCATATATATGCTTATTTTTATTTATTTTATATATATATATATATATATTATTTTACAATACCATTCAGTTCTACATATCAGCCATGGGTTCCCCTATTCTCCCCTCTCCCACCCCCTCCCCTTACCCCCAGCCTACCCCCCATTCCCACATCCTCCAGGACAGGTCCTCCCCCGAGGACTGTGATCAACCTGGTAGACTCAGTCCAGGCAGGTCCAGTCCCTTCCTCCCAGACTGAGCCAAGTGTCCCTGCATAAGCTCCAGGTTTCAAACAGCCAACTCATGCAATGAGCACAGGACTTGGTCCCACTGCCTAGTTGCCTCCCAAACTGATCAAGCCAATCAACTGTCTCACCTATTCAGAGGGCCTGTTCCAGCTGGGGGCCCCTCAGCCTTTGGTTCATAGTTCATGTGTTTCCATTCATTTGGCTATTTTTTTTCAATAATTGAGTAAAACTGAAATTTATTATAAGCCACAGTCGTCCTAGGGACCTCCATGCTATATATATAGCCTCTATGGTTCTATGGGTTGTGGTCTGATTGTTCTTTATTTTATATCTAGAATCCACTTATGAGTGAGTACATACTATGACTGTCTTTCTGGGTTTGGGTTACCTCACTCAGGATGATTTTTTCTAGTTCCATCCATTTGCCTGCAAATTTCATGCTTTCATTGTTTTTCTCTGCTGAGTAGTACTCCATTGTGTATATGTACCACATTTTTTATATGCTTATTTTTATGTATCATATATATGCTTATCTTTAATAACAAAATAACTTTGCAGTTCTCTTAGTGGATTGTAGAGCATTCAGCTACACTTCATCCTGTTTAACACCTGCATAACAAAACAGAATATCAATTATCTCAAATTTCAATTATTTATTTATCAATCTAAATTCAGTTTTACCTAGTTTGTAATTATACAAATGGAATAAAAAGACTTGGAGTACATATGCCTCAGCCACATGGTTTATCTGCCCTTCGCACACCCGCGCCTGTCTGTGCACACACACCCACAAGAGAGGTAACTAGAAAGAAAACCGTATCATTTCCACGGCTGATGTAGCAAACTGCAGGGTGGCTTTGAGCACTCAAGAAATGTTGCCTTCCCAAGAAAGAGACTGTGCTGTCACCAAACTCCAGACTCTGGTGAAGATTCCAGACGCACCAAGACAACAACTGCTAACCTTTATTGTAAGACAAAAAGTCATTTTTTTCCTCTTCATTTAACAGAGATGCTTCGTTTTTAGCAAGGGGACCATGAGCGGAGGAGGCATCTGAGTCTGGACCTTCAGCTTCCGAGGGGAAAACGTTCAAAAGAGAAGGATCGGGTGGTTTCCCAGGACTCGCATTGGGAAGGCTGTCAGACTCAAAGGAGACCCCCTCACACAAGCGGCTCCATTCTGTCCCCTGTGCTGTGCACTTCCCACAGGCAGTGAAGGTTTCGTGAATGTCTTCTGACTCTCCGCTTGGACGAAGACTCCCTAACCTTTGCACTGCCAGAGTTCCCTTTTTCTGCAGCACATAGATTGTGACATGTCTGCAAATGAAGAGAGAAAACTGAAGTTCCTGTTCTTGTCTGTGAGGTTCAACAGACCCTGAACTCTTCAGTTAAAAAAGAAAAGAAATATCTCACAAACACCTAGACACACACAAAAACAATCACTCCAAGAAGATATTTTGGATTGCCGGCAAATTCTCAGCCTGGTCACGCACCAAACTGCTCTCAACAAATGTACAAGTGTCTGCACTTTGGGATGTGTGGAGCACTCTAATTAACCCCGACCACTCAGAAATAGTTGAGTTCTTTAAAGTCTGCTTGCAACCTTGTATTTGTGGTTTCTTAAAGGTAGAGGGGGAAGGAGGGAAGGAGTCTGTTGCTGGTTATCTGAGGTCAAGAATCCTAAACTTACCTAGGTGGCTCACTGACCAGATCATCAGAGGGAGCAGCTTCAGGGCATTCTCCAAGAGGTTAAACAACAGCACTTTAAGAAACAGGTGAAGAGCTGTGAATGAGGGCATGGAGCGGGAGACCACCATGAAGATGACATTCTCCCTCTGAGCCAGCCTTCTGTTGGAGGCACGGTGAGGTGTGGAGAAAGTCCTAATCCATTAAGAGAACTGCAAAGTTATTTTGTTATTAAAGATAAGCTAATTTGGCTCATAGAAGTCTGGGTGAAGTGCTCTTTCCTTTGGCCCACTGCTGAGTCAGGGCAGGAAAGCTGATGGGACACATGGGCTGCAGGCATCATAATGACAGTCAAACCTATGACAGCGTCATGAAGAGGCCACAGGACGGGCACTCACATTAGCACATGCTATCTAAAGGTGACCATGGAACTCTGTAATATAGGATGTCCTTGGGTAAATTGCAAATATGTGTTGCTTTTATTGGATGATGAACAAAGCTGCTTTGGCCTATGGCAAGACAGAATATAGCTGGGTAGGAAAGCCAAACTGAATACAGGGAGGAAGAAAGGCGGAGTCAAGGAGACGCCATCCAGCCTCCCAAGGTGCAAGATGCCAGCAGACCAGTAATACCATGGCCATGTGGCAATACATAGATTAGTAATAATTGGTTAATTTAAGCTATAAGAGCTAGTTAATAGTAAGCCTGAGCCATAGGCCAAACATTTATAATTAAGTCTCCAAATGGTTATTCGGGAATTGGCGGGCAGAGGAGAAATTTCCGATTGCAACTCTGTCTCAGTTAGTTTTTTGTTGTTGTGATAAAATGCCACGACCAAGTCACCTTAGAGAAGCAAGGGTTTAATTTTCCTTGTGGTTCCAGAGCAATGAGTCCATCATGGTGAGGAGTTACGGCAGCAGAAGTGGGAAGCCGAGAGCTCACATTTCAACCGCAAACACGAAGCAGAGAGAACAAACTGGTACAGTCTTTAAACTCTCAAGGTTCACCTCGAGGACATACTGATTCCAGCAAGGCCACACCTCCCTAACCTCCCCAAATAGCACCACCAACAGGGGACTAAATGATCAAACATCTAAAACGTGTGTGTGTGTGTGTGTGTGTGTGTGTGTGTGTGTGTGTGTGTGTATGTGTGTGTGTGTGTGTGCGCGTGCGTGCGTGTGTGTGTGTGTGTGTGTGTATGTATGTGTGTGTTTGTGTGTGTGTGTGTGTATGTATGTGTGTGTTTGTGTGTGTGTGTGTATG